CTGACTTAAATGCAATTTAAAGGGCTGTTTCTGACCTTTAAAGCCCTATATAGCTTGGCACTAGATTACTTGCAGGACCACCTTCTCCAACCAGTTTGCTGCTTTATACATACACACATACATACATACATACATACACGCACACACATATACACACAGTATATGTGTGTGTGTGTGTGTGTGAATTTTTTTAAATAAAAACAATACGAATTTTGAAAAAAGAGTAAAGAAAGTAAAGTAGGTGAAAAAAGGGTGCAAAGAAAGAAAGAGAAAGAGAAATGAAAAAAGTTGTAAAGAAACTGCTTTTGATCTTAACAGCAGTTACAAGTACATTCGCATTTTACCCTCTCTCTCTAAGGTTACAACATAATTTCCTTCTTTTCATAATCTACCCTTTTTAATCATCAAACCTGTAAATCACAAGTTCATTTTTTTCTTCTTTCAACAAAAAGACCATAAGGGGTTTCCAGTCGCTAATAAATGTGATTATTGTCCTTTCTCTAATTGACAAGTCAATTTTGCCATCTCTGCTAATTCTGTCATCATCCTCCATTGTGGGCATTTCAGAGTCTTTCCATTTTTGTGCATACAATAGTCTCGCAGCAGTTATCACATACAAAAACAATCTTTCATAATTCTTTTCTAATTTTCTATCCATTAGTCCCAGCAAGAAAAATTCTGGTTTCAATTGAATATTAATCTTTAAAATTCTCTGTATCACTGTGTGTGTTTGGACCCAACCTTCTCCAACCAGTTTCAACTCACTCATCTTGTATATCCTAAAAGAACCAGTTGTGCTTCCCCGCTTTTATGAATTGAGGGGCGGGGATTTCAATAGGTGCTGTTTTCCTGTTGGTGAGTCTGCTTATGGAACAGCCTCCCCTAAGAAATGTGATTAGCCCAATGCTGTTGGCTTTCTTTATGTTACTAAAAACCAAGTTACTTTGGAGAGCCTTTAGGACGTGAATTGATGTTATTAGTTACTGTGTGAGTTATGTATAACTGGGGATTGGTTGGTTTCTATTTTTACAATTATACCATGGACATTTTATTGTATTTTTGTGGACATATTATAAATCACTGAAAGTCTCTTGACTGCAGTAGGCATAAGTCAAATAAAGAAATACATATTTAATTAAAACATCTTTTGAGTTCACAATTTGGGTCTGACAAATCTCAAACTTCAAAATTATAATTCCTTAAGGAATTAATATCCTTAATTTTTATATATATTTGAAAAGATTTAGTAAGATACATCCTGGAAATCTGCATAAAACATGGAAGAAAAAAGCTGGAATATTCTGTTTTAATAAACTAATGGGCTGGAATTTTGTGGGTTTGGATGGATCCCATTGCTTTGGGGAGAGGAAGAGGTGAGGAGGGGGTGTTGGATAGGGAGTTGGGGAAAGGGTAAGGGAAGGCATTACAGTGGTGACAGGCATGGGGAGGTATGGTGGGAGACAGGGGCAGGCCACTCTTGGGGAAGGCGATCCCAGTGTTTAAACCTGGTACCACGTTCTGGGGTTTGGTGGCTCTGGACACCAGCTGCCACTGCTTAAATACCAGGTTGGCCTGTAATAAAGTTCCCCTCATCCATGACTTGCCGACCGAGCAGAGATAAGAGCTTTCATTAGAACTTACCTTGTGGCGACAAGGGCAGCAAAGCACTCTTACTTCTCCGCTCTTATTGCATCTGCAGATAGCCTCCCAGCAGCCCTGTTTCAGGTGACCAGGTCCCTCCTGGGTAAGGAGGAGTGGGGGAGGTCTTGCAGGATGCTGTGAAGAATATTCTCAGCATCTGTCAGACAAAGTTACTCAGCTTTGCTCTGAGTTGGACTCTGGCTGGACAGATCCTTTGGAAGTGACTGAGACACATCTGAGCCCTGTTATCTGGGAGGAGTTTCAGACAGTCGATCCTGAGGAAGTGGACAGGGTCCTCGTGGCTGTGGGCTTGGCCACCTATGTGCTGGCCCCATGCTCCTCCTGGCTGGTTAAGGCCTCCTGGGAGGAAGCATACGGTTGGGTCTAAGTTAATGCCTCTTTGTAGGAGGGGGAGGTACCTCCTGCCTTGAAGGAGGCAGTGATGCACCTCCTTCTCAAGAGGCCATCCTTGGACCCAACCATGTTCTACAACTTTCATCTAGTCTCCAACCTTCCCTTTTAGGGGAAGGTTGTTGAGACAGTGGTGGGCGCTCAGCTTTAGAGGACCTCAGATGAAGTGGATCATCTGGGCCCTTTTTAGTCTAGATAACGCCCAGGGTACAGCACCAAGATGGAATTGGTAGTGTTTGTGAATGACCTCTGGAGGGCTCGGGATGGGTGTGGTGCAACTGTCCTGGCACTCCTGGATCTCTTAGCAGCTTTTGATACCATTGACCATGGTATCCTTCTGAGTAGGGTTCAGGGATTGGGAATGGGAGGCACTGTTTTGGGGTGGTTCTCATTTCTCCATGGCCAGTTTCAGTTGGTATTTGTGTGGGGAAGAGGTCAAGCCCTAGGCACCTGCAGTGTGGGGTTCCTCAGAGCTCAGTCTCTCTCCTCTCCTTTTTAACATTTACATGAAGCCGCTGGGTGAGGTCAATGCAAAATCTATACCTTATCTGCCACAATGGATTACTAACACGTTACTTGTCAATCAGCATTTTTTTCAACAAAGGGGCAAGAAAAGAGGACTTGGCAATTGGTCAAATTGGGTGGAGGGGGTATTCTGTTTAAGAAAAAAATCCTGGAAAAAAAATTCATATTTGTTATATTAATTTTGCTGTTACCTACACTGTTAATACTGCTGAATGTGTACATTTTTTTTTCCATTAGCCTGATAGAATAAAATTTAAAATACATTTTAAGAGAACAGGACAAAACCATCTAGATGGTGATCATTTGATAAAAAACATACCTCTTATACAGATCCTCTTCTGCTTCAGAAGGCTTTTGACCCAAACTCTCTGTGGTAGGTGGACAGATCCCTGGACAAATGAAAATAAATACTTATTACAGAAAAATAAATGTCCCATTTCTTTTCTATATGTGGTATAAAGGGAGGAGAAGCAAAGCCACTCAGCTAAATTACAAAGCAATCTATTTCAGGAGAAAAATGCAACAACAAAGGAAATCTATGAAATCTAGAATATTGGCTGAATAAATTACTTATGACTATGAACATACTAAAACATTCCAGAGTGCCAACAGGAATTGTGCAGAGTTCATTCTCACAACAGAAAAGCTATTACAAAGTTCGGAAAATCTAACAATACACATTATTAGGGGGTAGGGAGGGATGACATATACTCATGTAAATAATATTTCAACATAGAATATGTTTCTAGTAGTATGGGACAGATTTATTAATTCATAAGTCATCCCTTAAATAAAAGGCATGCAATACCTGTGGACACCTTAGATTTCCCTGGCAATTGCTGGTCCTGTTTAGGTTCACATTTTTCCTTCATCCTGTTTACTACATCTTCAGAAAGCTAGCCCAAATAAAAAGAAGAGTTGGAAGATAAGAAAGTTTAAGTTCACACATTTCCTTAAAGTTATGTTTTGCTAGGTGATAAAGCACTATGGATACATTCACACATTATTAATCCAAAACCTGAAACAATAAATTCTGTTTTAGCATGAGCCATGCACAAGGAAAGAGAGTAATTAAATTACTACGTATGTGTTACCTGTGTATCTATCATCTGGAAATTACAAGAGATTCAGTGCCTTATTCTTGATACTAAAGGAGTTACAAACACATAAGATAAATACTTACTGACTGGTCAAAATGTTAATTCATAAAGCTAAAGTCCACAAGACGCACTCCTGTTAAAACCTACAAGAACTCTGCAATGAATTATTTTTAAGTGGACCTTACTGGACAGAGAGGGGGAGGACAAATCAGACTCGCCCTTGCGGTTCAAAGCCCGCCGCTCAGCGCCCGCCGCCCCTCCCTCTAACGCCGTCCACCCCCTCTCATCCTCCGAGTCCTTTGCCCGCGGGGAGCCTCCCTGCATCCTGAGGGAGAGCCTCCACTCACCCGGATGCCCTGCAACACCCGAACTTGCTCGTGTTCATCCAGCTCGAAGGAGACCTTCCTGCTGCCGTGGGTGCTCTCGCTACCCCCCATAGCACCAACCGAAAAAAGAAAACTCGGAGGCGAGTTCAAAATCAAGACAGATACCCAGACAACACGCTCCGCTCCACAGGGCTATAAACTCGCTCCTGGTTGGCGGCCGCGGAGAAAGCCTCCAATAGCGCTACGCGGTCTTGGAGGCGGGCCGCGAAGCAGGCTGGAAGCTGTAGTCTTCCTTCTCCATATGCCCCTCCAAGGATGCTGCTGCTGTCGCCGCTGAACGAAATGGGACAAAATGACTCAGAAGCGACACTTGCTTACGGTTACGCTTGCCTCAGCGATTGTTCTGGAGAGGAGGCGCATCCAGGAATTTGGGCTTTTTTCAGGTGACGGAGGACACTTCTCTCTCAGGGTAGAAGTATCTGCAAGTTGCAGATCTTAGTTGCTTTTCAGCGAGACTAGACTTTTGGGGAGTTAAGGGGATTCCTTGCGAAGCTATTTCTGCGTTGTTCTTTTTTCACTGAAACCTATCAGAACCACGCTATTGTATAAGGTTTGCAAACCCTGTGTAAATTTACAGGTACAGCAGGGGAGAGGACAGAAAACAGGCCAGCCTACTTTTTATTTTTCAAATATGAATAATGTGAACAGTGAGTTTCTATTTTTCATTTTAACATATGTTCTAACTATTAGTTGAATGAAATCTCAGCTTTAATGCCTGGATTAAATCCCTCCATCACAGTGATCTCACACAGTTGGAAAGTTCAAACAATTGGATTTTAAAAAATAAGCATAAAAACCATATGATGAGTCCAAATACCTAGTAGTTAAATAATGCATGTTCAAATAAGCATGCATTTCAGTGAACACTTTATACACTGAAATTAACTGCAGTTATACAGAATGTCTGTTGGAAGGTTGCAATTCACTTACAAAAAATGAGATTCAGGTACAGAAAAAAGCAAAAATGAGGAAACGATAATAAACAATTACAACTCATACTCCACATTCCAAATTGTTACCTCTCAAGGTTGGTCCTCATAATTTTTTTTAATATTTGAAGTGATTTTTGTATGCAATTCTAGATAAAATCTGTGGGCATCAAATATTTGTGGCCTTCCAAATGTTGGTAGATAGTTATGTTGTGTATTGAGTCATATTATTATTCATTTGTTCATTTATAGCCTACCTTTCCTCAAGAACAAAAGGTGGCATAATTCTTCCATTTTTTTCCTCATAACTCTGTGAGGTAGGATCATTTGATAAGACAGTGTCTATCTAAAGTTGAATTATCCACCTAATTCTAACATGGAGTCTATACTTGAGCCTGGATCTCCCACGTCTCAATCTGACATCTCAGGTATTACACCATCATGCATAAATTCTGTCCATAAAGGCTACTGAATTGAATCAAAATTTGTCATCTGAAGGGCCACAGCTTCTATTTCTCTGGATAATTTGCACAGCCACTGCTGTCCATAATTACAGTTCCAGAGGAAGAACAATAGTTTTTGTACAATTACATTGGCTTTTCCAACACTAAAAGTACAAGTATAGTGGAACCTCGGTTTATGAACTTAATTCGTTCCGTGACTCTGGCCGCAACCCGTATTGGTCGCAACCCGAAGGA